AATAACATCTGATATGATGATATCATCTTATAATTGCATTTGATATGATAGTATTACCACAGTTAGGCCTTTGGCATTTTGACGATTTTCATTTTCAATATTATTACTATGGCCTTTTAGAGTATATTCAATTTGTCCATATGAAATACCTAGATATTGTGTTGTATCATTATTCTTGTATAATAATGGATTTTCAAGCATTTTTTGTAAAGAAGAATTAAAACTATTATTAGATTTGCTTGAATGCTCTGAACTGCCAGAACATTGTGATTTCATATGTAGATTATTAGCAAGTATTTTGTTGAGAATATTGCTTTCTTTTATATCTCTTGGAACATCAATATTATCTTTTACTTCATTATTATTGTTCTTCTTTGATAAATACTTTTTAGCTTGTAACCAAGTTTTAACATTTTTCGATGTTGGTGGCTGAATAAGAGGATGAATTATTAACGTATTGTACCCTGCAAGAACTCTCTTTATATTGCAAGATTTTATACTTGATCCAGAAGGATAAAACTCATTTATTCGCACTCGACGCCAGAGTTTAATACCCGTAACTCTATCTAAACTACATTTAAATGGAATTACTTTGTAAATACCATTATTACTTAAATTTTTTCTTTGCTTAAATTTTATCAAATCAATTTTGTTGCTGAAAAATAATGAATTGAATTTTGATTCTAAAATATCATACATCTTCATAGAGTTTATGATTCTTTCTCTGCTTGGTGAATTAAATTTACTTGTAATAGTAATCAACTTAGTTTCTATACCACTTATATCTTTTAGTGCCATGATATTTGGGGTATTTGATTCTGATTCTAATTTTCCATTAAGGTATTGTGTATATGTCATATTACAAACGTCTTCTTCATCTTCATCTTCATCTATATTTTTATGTATTAATGACATTTGGTCTGAAGTATTGTCTAAGTACAAATTGACATTATCTCTGGATGTACTTGGTAAATTATATTCATAATTGACTTTCTCATTCTCTCTTGTGTGTAGTTTTATAGAATTTCCATGACATTTAGAATTCATTGTGGAAATGCTAATGGAATTATTGCTTTTATGTATATTATCTATGATTTCTTTTGTTAGAGATAAGTTTTCGAAATATATATTATCCTTTACAGAACTAATTTCTTTATTATTAATATTCATAAAACTTAATTTTTTACAAATCCGTTTGTTATTTTTAAGAATAATTTGTGTTTCAAAATTTGTTTTTGATACATTATCTTCTTTATCAAAATTAATTGACTCTTCATGTACATTTGAACTACTAACATTAAAAATCAAATTTTATATAAAACATTCTTGTAAAATAAAAATATAGTCATATTTGTAACATTTACCTGTCTTTGTGTTTAAGAATAACTGAGCCTGTTTTGCTAATATTTGAAGTTTCATTATGTGTAAAGAATGCTGAAAAAAATATAAAATAATTTATCTAAAACATAGTTTGATATATAACAATAATATACTACTTACTTTGATTTTCCTCTAAAGCTAAATTATCTATTTTATCACGAAATAAATGTTGATTATTTCGTTTCAAAGTATCATAACTAGATTCTGAACTACAAGATTCATTATTTCTAATATTTTTATCTATTTTTGGAGACACTATTTTTATATCAAGCGAAGAATATTTTTTTGAGACAGAACATGGACTATGTACCAATTTTGCTTTAGTTGGGATAGGATATGGTTCATTTGGTAAATAATTTCCAATGGTATTACGTCGCTTATAAGGAGATTGCAAATTAGAATCTTCCAATTCAATCCTTCGTTTTATCAGTGAAATATTAACCACACCCTTGTCACTTTTAAATTTTGTATTTGGCTTATAAATACAAATGCGCTTTTCTTCTTTGTTAATGGTAGTATCCTGATCTACCTCAGAATCACTGGAGCTATTATCAGCATTACCATCAAGTGCAGGTATGTTTAATTTATTTGAAACACTATTCCTGATATACAATTCATTAGGATTGTTTTCAAAATCTATTGAATTTTTTAAATGTTTACACTTATGTAATGTATATTCGATCTCATCTATATCATAAACATCTAAATCTTTGTGATCTAATTTATAAATATTTGTATCTTTATAATACGACAACTTTTTTTCAGTAGTTTGTGACGTTTTTCTACGTTTACTTTCAAATTCTTGATTTTGTTCCTGATAAAATGTAAAATGTTTAGATAATTTAATATCAAATATAGTTCCTTGCGGAATCATTAACTGATTTTGTAAAAGATTAAGATTTATTGGAATATTTATAAATTTTAATTCATTTAATATCATATTACTATTGAAATGTAGTGCAAATTTATCCAATTTTGTACATGCTTTTTTTCCCTCCTTTATTTTATTTCTAGTAAGCTGCCATATTAATTGCTCTTCATTTTTTAAAACTAAATCGCTTGAGCCATCATACTGAGGAACATCTCTTGAAGAAGTACTTTCAGTATTATGTTCAGTTATATCATTTGTTTGTTTGTTATCTTCTGTCATCTTACTTTCAATTTCAGTGATAACTGAGTTCCACGAACTAAGGCTCAAATCCAAACTTGTAATGTTCAAATCTTCAATTTCATCATCTTCATTATCCACTTTAATTTCATTATTCAACATAGAAAATTGAGAACCTAACATGCTATCGTTATCTATAATTTTCTCTTCTTCATTTTCTTCTCTTAAATCAGCCAATATTTCAACCAAATACATATCTTCAGAGTCCACTAAAACAAATAAGTATATATGTACATGTACGTACAAGTATATATATTTACAAATAAAAACTCCAACATATAATTTTAACAAGAAAATGTTTAGTAAAAAATCCTACTTATTGTATAATTACTTACAAATAGTATTTTCTATTATTTCATCTTGAGGTAAATTTTCTTTTATCTCAAAGTTATCAAATTCTAATAAACTATTATTTAAAAACGTTTCATCTTTAGTTTCTTTATTTAGCATTAGTGATTTAAAATGATTTGGAACATATGAAGCACTAAATGAGTTATTTTCATCATCCACTTCTAAAGGATAACTGTGTATTTTTGATGTTTTTGAAGTTATATCTTCACTAATCTAAGAGTACAAATGAATTAGACTTATTTTTTTCAATGTGAAAATTTTAAAAATAAGTTAATACTATACCTGTGATATAGACTGCAATTTTTTCCTTAATCTTTCTTCTTGATAAATATCATTCTCTGTTAAATCATAAATTCTGTTACTAGTATTAGAATACAAAAATTGTGATTCAACATTCTCTAAATCTTTTGCTTCTCTTCTATGTCTTTCTTCATTCCAAATGGCTGCAATACCAGGATTTAAATCCAAATCATTCTGAATTTCTTGTCTATTGAGTATTTCACATGCTTGTGCATCTACTTCTAATTTGCAGGTGCTTTGTTTAACAATAAATGCTGGGAGGTATTTTTGTGAATCAAATAAATTTAATGGACTCTCATTTTCTGAGTTTTCTTCTAATTTTGTATGTATGCATTGTCTAAATTTAACATCTTTTAAGTTTATTAAACTCATACCATATAGATTATAATCAATCATAAATTGCAAAATAAAAGGTATATGTGCTTCATGTGGTTGTAAACTTTGACCAAATATTACTCCATTCTAAAAAAGAATATTTGCTATTATTTCTGCATTCTTTAATAAATATAAAAAGATAATTACAAGCACAAATACTATATACTTGTAATAAATCAGCTGCTCGTTTGATCATAGCTGGATTGTAAAAGTAAATTTTTAGAAACAAATGTTCCTTTTCATGATATCCGTAAAAAGGACTAGAAAAAAGATTTTATGTAATCAAATTCATATATATATATATATATATATATGTATATATATGTACTAATAATATGCAATATATTTAATATTCTTACATTCCAGAAACTTGTTGAATTTTATAAACATGCTGAGTATTAGATATTGCAGATCCCAAAGATACATTTATTGCAGAATCAATTGCTGCTGCCAATTTGTACATGTAACTATTAACATTATCATTTATTGTACATGGTATGTACATATATGGAAATACTCCATGTATATGTAAACATGTTTTTGTTCCTTAATACAATTAAAAATAAAAGATAAATAATTATTATTTAAGTATTTATTAGTAAATATTACATATTAATAAACTTCGATATACCAGAAGGAGTAGATCCAAATATCCTGATAACTGGGACTTGCCTAATTTCATTTCCTCGAAAGTCTGAAAATGTTACATCTACTCCTAATAGTGGAATTGACTGATAACTATCTAAAGTTACCAAATTGATTGAAAACATATTTCTTATCTATAAATAAAGCATTATATCTTTTATATTACTTACTTAAATAAATAAACCGTTTTTTAAGTACTTACCTGAAGAATTGCAGGTTAGAAAAATTTTCTTTTTACACAATTATTGATAATAATAATTCATGTAAAGTGAGAAATATGGAATTCCAGGTTATGCTTATATTTGTTCGTCCACTGATATTAAATCTCAAAGTTATTATGCTCACAATGTTTCTTGAAGTAAAGATGTTTTGTAAATGTTATTTTACTATCATTTTTATACATATATTAAACTATTAATTTTGTTTTTAGAAATTCCAATTAATTTTTACATAGCCACACAACTGATGTTTCTGCTAATATGATGCAAAAGTCACAACATCAGGTATACTTTTATACTTTTAACTAAAAAAGTAACTGTTAATTTCATTAAATAACACTAAAATAGGTATATAATAATAATATAATAAAAATTAGAATTTATATTTTTTATAACATGTTTTTATTTTGTATTACAATTTAAATTTTACAAGTTCATTGTTATATAAGCATATGTAATTAGCAAAATAAATTGTACAAAAGTACATTAAACATACATTAGGCATTTGAAGTATTTAATTTCAACTTTGATTATGTAGACTGAATGAAAAATAGACTATAATATACTTTGTAGAGTAACAGGTTCTCATATTTAAAAGATATTACATTTCATAAGATCAACATTGTACAAAATAACATTTCACTTTTGTATCGCGTATATACTTATGCATATGAAGATAATATTGATACATATTAGAAATATTTTGTGCGTATGTATTTCATGGTAATTTATAGGCCAATAGAATTATAACAAAGCATTAGCAAATTATATTAGAAATTCTTCAAATATAAACTATTAATGCATAATTCTAAAGTTTAACGTTTACATGAAATAAATATCAAAATTTGCATAGAAACAATAATAATGATGGCCCAAATTAATCAACTTAAGGTAATTAAATGAATGTTTGAATATTGATGATACAAATAGACTCGATATTTCATTCTAATCATATAATAAATTAAACATATCAAAATACAAATACTTAGAGGAAAAAAATTGAAATGATTCGCTTTTTACTTTAAACATGCAAGTTTAAAAAATGGTACAGTAACTTCTTTCACGAAAGGGATTCGATTTCTGTGATGAAAAACCAACCAAAAGATAATCTTCTTGCTCGTGTTCTGTAATGTATTTCATGATATCTTCAACAGCTTTGCTAACTGTAATTCGTTTTAAAGCAGCTTCACGTCGTAGCTGCTCCGTAATTTGCCGTTGTTGTTGTAAATTGGTGGTCACCATATCCATAACAGACGAAGGCAACAGAATTTTGTATGGAATACTAAAATAAAATACTAAAATGCACAACATTTCTTTCTTCTATTATTTAATAGCAATATTTAAAAGTATTAAAGCTATGAAATCAAATTACCAATTTTTGATAATAACCTCCGTCAGTGCGATACGCTTAGTAATACTTCAAATAAATTATTATACTTTTCCTACGTCTTAATAAATTTTATCAGTTTCCAACTTTAAGCCTATCCCTTAAGGCTAGTTTTCGTAAAGATGTATATTTGGATTGATAGGAGCTTTAGAACCTAAATGACATATATAATCCCAATTTTTACACAAATATTTCTTTAAATTTAAATAAATCGTAACTATTTATTTAAAAAATAATTTATCTAACATCTAAAATTTGTCTAGTTATAAAATTAGAATTAGCACTGAGAGATGTCGTTATAGTAGAAACCTCGAAGGAAAGATCTGGATTCTTCATCATTTATGATGGAAAGTTAAATTAGGGTATTAATTGTGAATTGCACGTGAAGTATAAGGATCTTCTAATTTTTATAAAAGTAATCATGGCTTTGCATGTACCAAAAGCACCGGGCATGGCCCAAATGCTTAAAGAAGGTGCCCGCGTAAGTATAAAATACTTTTTAAAAATTACGTGTATATTATTAAGCTAATATGAAATTATCTCAGAAGATGTCTTCTTTGGAATATGACACAATGTTTCATCAAACATTACCTTTTATAGACATATTATATTCGTTTGACGTACATATTTCTATAATATACTTAAAAATGTAATATTCTCAAAAAATGAAAAAATTCCGATATTTTTAAATTTATTTTTTATATTATTTACAGTCGTTTATAGCCTATAGATTGTTAATATAATTGTATGTGAACTTCAATAATAAATTTATGAATAAGTTTGGAATCATTACATGATGAACTTCTAAATGTTTTTATGTTTTAAATGTGATTAATAATTTCTAAGTAATAATTTTAAGCAATACCAAAGACCAAGTAGAACCGAAAGTTTTTATTTTTAATTTATTTTGGTTAATATTAAAGTACAGCTAAGTAATTAAATATAATATTCATAACCATAATTGATATGCATTTTCTCTTTAATCAGTATTTCTCAGGTTTGGAAGAAGCAGTATACGGAAATATAACAGCATGTAAGCAGTTTGCACAAACTGTAAGGACTGCTTATGGTCCAAATGGCATGAATAAAATGATAATTAATCATATAGAGAAATTGTTTATCACAAATGATGCTGCAACAATTATTAATGAATTGGAAGTTGAACATCCAGCTGCTAAATTATTAGTTCTAGCATCAAAAATGCAAGAAGCAGAAGTCGGCGATGGTACCAATTTTGTAATCATTTTTGCTGGAGCACTTCTTGAAGCTGCAGAAGAACTACTTCGTTTGGTAAAATTTCAAAATTATAAATGCTGATATTATTTGCTAATTTTACAAATCACAAACATACTAAAAGGGTATAAACATTTTATATACTAGGGAATTACTACATCTGAAATAGTTGAAGGATATGAAGCTTCCTTGGAAAAAGCTTTGCAAATATTACCAACATTAGTCTGCTATGAAGTAAAAGATTATCAAGATGAAAAACAAATAAAACTGGGAATTAAGACAGCTATTATGAGTAAGCAATATGGAAATGAAGAACCTCTTACTTCTCTTGTTGCAAAAGCTTGTGTTTCTATTTTACCAAAAAAATCTACTTTTAATGTGGATAATGTACGTGTTTGTAAAATACTGGGAAGTGGTATATCTAGTTCTGAGGTTGTACAGGGAATGGTATTTAAGAGGCAAGTTGAAGGAGACGTTACAAGAAAAGATAATGCCAAAATTGCTGTCTATACTTGTGCTATAGACGTTATACAAACTGAAACGAAAGGAACAGTATTGATAAAAACAGCAGATGAACTGATGAAATTCTCTAGAGGAGAGGAATCCTTATTAGAATCTCAAATAAAAGCAATTGCTGATAGTGGAGCTACTGTGATTGTTTCAGGAGGAAAGTTTGGAGATATGGCTTTACACTACATGAACAAATATAATATAATGGCTGTTCGTATACCTAGCAAATTTGATGTTAGGAGATTATGTAAAACTGTTGGTGCTACTGCACTTCCAAAATTGGTAAATAATTTTCTTGTAATGGTTATTTTTTAAACATATCACAAAGAATTAACTAATCATTTCTGCTTTAAGATTCCACCATCGAAAGAAGAGTTAGGGTATGCAGATTCAGTATATATCGACGAAGTTGGAGACACTATAGTAGTAAAGTTTGCAATAAATGGCAAAGATAGTAGAGTTAGTACTATACTTATTCGGGGATCTACGGAAAATTATATGGATGATATTGAACGGGCTATTGATGATGGAGTCAATACATTTAAAGGAATAACAAGAGATGGGAGATTTGTTCCAGGAGCAGGTGCTACAGAAATTGAACTTGCCGCACAACTCAGTACATATGCAGATACTTTACCAGGTTTAGAACAGTACGCAGTACGTAAATTTGCAACAGCTTTGGAAATTTTCCCAAAAACCTTAGCGGAAAATAGTGGAAGTCATGCATCTGAACTTCTATCTAAGCTTTATGCTGCACATAAGGAAGACAAAAAGAATTATGGTTTTGACATTGATGTACGTATTCTGCTATGTATCTGCTTAAAATTTTTGTAAAATCTCAATAATTTCATGTAAATAGTGAATATTAAAGAAAACTATATTTGTTTATAGCAAAAAGCAGGTCTTATAGATACACTGGAAGCTGGAATCTTGGATTTGTTCTTAACAAAACAATGGGGTTTAAAATATGCTGTTGGCGTTGCGTGTACTGTACTTAAAGTCAATCAGATTATAATGGCAAAACGTGCAGGAGGACCAAAAGTACCAGGCGGTGGTATTCGCGACGATGACGAGTGATAATACATAAAGCATCATATACATACATATAACATTTAATTATTCATTAATTCTTATGTTGTTAGCTTATAGTGTTATATTACATTGCTTTTTTATTAAACTTCATGTCAAACAAGAAAAATATTTATAAAAGAATATTGACTATTTATTTACACACTACATACTTGTTAATACATCTGTATGTAATATTACGCTGCTTTTTCTAATGAAAACATGATTCATAATAAAATAGTATTTTATAATTTCCTTTAAATGTTATGAATATAGCACTTAAAATTCGAATTATTGTGTAATATGTATAAAAGGCTAAATGAATGTTAATTAGGATTAAATATTTTTATATTTATTATTTTTTAATTTATTATATTTAGTTAAATATAAATCTTTTTAAATTTAATTGTTTATTAAATGATGTGTTATTAAGGTTAGTGTGTAGTTAGTATAGTGATTAATTATGACTAACCAATAAAAAACAACAAATTTTCTGGTGAAATAATACAAAACAGAAAAATAGACTTTCATCGGATATAAATAGGTCTGTTTAATCAAAATTTGAACCATATATACCATATATACATATGTATAAAAAATATTTCTTGACTCTACACATTGTTAGGATATTAGTTTTTTGATAAAAAGATAAGAAGTTATATAATGTCTCAAATATTAAGCAATAAACAGTAGTCATTCTATCAGTAATTATAGTTAGATACTCCAGAACCTTTACAAAAGAAAAATAAGCAATATGAGCCTTAAATTTGCTTCCAACTTATCCTTTATGTTCACAGAGGCACCATCTATTATTGAAAGATATAAATTGGCAAAAGAAGCTGGTTTTAGAGCAGTAGAAAGTGGATTTCCTTTTGGTTTTTCCATTAAAGATGTATCAGAAGCCCAAAAAAATGCACATGTTGAACAAATTCTTATAAACGTGTTTACAGGTATGTATTTGACAATTACAACGAATGTGAAGCATTATACAAATAATGGCAAGAAAAATAGTCTTATATTAAGGTATAACTTTCGTTTTATTATAAATATGTAGGTGATGTTTCAAAAGGAGAGTTAGGATTTGCAGCGATACCTGGAGAAGAAGAAAACTTTAAAAAAAGCATTGATTTAACAATAGAATATGCAAAAGCATTAAATTGTAAACGGTAAAAGAAATTGTTTAAATTGATTGATATCATTAATGATTGTTTTTTCTAATAAAGAATTTTTCGTTTTATTTTTTATACAATCTCTTTTTAGAATTCATATTATGTCAGGCAAAGTAAATAAAGTAACAACTGTCAATGATGATGTGTATGTAAAAAATCTTTTATATGCATTGCAAAAATTTGAAAAAGAGGGAATACTAGGCCTTATAGAACCTATCAATAATATCACCGTACCAAATTATTATATGAATAGTTTCCAGAAAGGTAACCTTCTAATACAAAAGATTTAATGAAAGACTTGAATAAGTCATTAATATGACATTTTTTATAGGTTTAGATGTAGTGAAGAAGATAAATAAGCCAAATTTAAAATTACAACTTGATATCTTTCACTTACAACATATTTGTGGCAATATTACAAAAAACATCAAGGAACTTCTACCATACGTTGGTATGTGATTTATCTAAATTACATATACATATATACATATATTTATATACATGTGAAATTTATATATTTTCTTGTCATTATAGGTCATGTACAAATTGCTCAAGTACCAGATAGACATGAACCTGATACTTCTGGGGAAATAGATTATAAATATGTTCTTTCGATCTTAGAAAAAGAAGGATATGATGGGTATGTAGGTTTAGAATATTGTCCAAAATCATCATCAGTAGATGGATTAAGTTGGATACAAAAATATGGTTATGAATTATAAGATTCATTTTGTGATTATATATTGAAAATCTTCATTTATAATATAACAATCATTTATTTCTTATCATTGTTTAAAGAAATCTTAAGTACCTCTTCTTATAACAGTCAAATACATTTTGTGTTACAATATACTTGTCACGTTTCTATTACAATATAACTTTATTATATACTTTATATACACACAACAAGATTGATGAATAAGTCAAACTTATGTTAATACTTCCTACTAAAGTTACTTCTTTGCACATTAGTCTTATTTTTTTCACTTATGATTAAGTTGAACATAACCATTATTACTAATATAAATGTAAATTTTTAGTGTTTAATTACCATCTACTAAATTTACACAATTGTGTCATCAGTGCTATCACTGCTTTTGTATACAAGATAAGATTCACTAATAATACTTTTTTATTTAGTACTGTTATCCAGTACTTTTATATATCTTACTGATGTTACATGATACATTATATTTCAATAAAATCTGTAAACAATATAAAGAATATAAATTATAAACCATAAATTTGTTCTAGTAATGTAAATGTATTATTTGTTAATTATAAAGTATATGTTATATTAAAAGATACCAACTTTATTGTTAATCTTATTTTAATAAAAATATTATTGTTGTAAGTAAAAAATAAATTTATTCAAAACTCAGTTAATTTTTTTTATTAATCTTTAATTATATATTTATATTTATTAATTTATTAATAATTATATATTCGTTAATTTTTAATTAATAAATTTTATAATTAGTTGCATTAAATAAAATACATGAAAAAATCATTATTATAACGAAATATTTTCGAATATGAGAAAACGAAGAAATATCCTTAAAATTGTTTTTATTCTTTTTAATATGAAATAATATTTTTAAAAGTATGTAATTGTATTAGTTTTTTAGTTATGTAACATAACTATCTCTAACAAATATAAATAGAGAATGTTATAGAATTTACATCAAATGTGATTAAAACATATTTTGTACAATACAAATAAAATTCATTTTGATATTTCATTTTAATGATTATTAAATATTTTTAATTTGAAAATGATAACAGATTTATTACCTTATAGTAACTTTAATTCATAATTTCTTTATAAAATCATTAAATTCAATGGCAACATTTCTTTTGTTTAGTCATAACTATTTATATATATCACCAAATCATTTTTATATTCTTCACATTTCAATGGCATCAATTATTAACAGCAATTTAATATCTATAAAACATTGTAAATTATGATCAGAATTACATATATTGCTATATGCAATAATATCTGTAAGTAATGAGAATGTTACTTATACATACCTAAAATCTTAAAAATTTTCTGCAGATTTTATGTTCTAATTTCTGTCAATAATTTTTATAATATGTGTTAATGTATACAGAACTATAAATGTTCTAATCTATAGTAATAAATATAATCTAGTTATTAATCCTTTGCATTTGTATATCAAAATACTGCAAGAAAATTATCAAATTAGCAAAATAAAAAATAGTCCATAAAAATAGCTACAGAAAAAAAATTTACTGAAAAATATTTAACTTCAAACTTAAGACTAAGGAGGCTTTACTAAGATCAATAGAATCACATTTAACAGAAGGACTAATTAAAAAAGATAGCAAGTGCAAAGGATTTATATAAAGACTTTAAAATTAGGTTGTGTTAACAAGAAATATTTGTTAATAATAAAAAGATGAATAATAAATTTTAAATGCTGCTTCAAACAACTTCAGTTGCGTCCACCAATGGTTGATTGGCATCTGTTGCACGAGTTATCATAGCAGAGCTGTAAAATATTTTAAAGAATATTCAATAAATTTACTTATCACATATACAGATTGACTAAAAATATTTGTTATGCAAATAAATTTATATTAGCAGTTATATTAAAAGAGTTTACTAAAAGTACTAAAGTACAGTGTGTACTAAAGTACAGAGTGTACTAAAAGTACAATATCAAATATAAAGAAAGCTGTGACACATAATTATATATAAAAATTATTGTACAAGATAATGTTTCAAATTACACTTTCAAAAAAGGCATTAAATGTTAGTGTTTGTAAACAAAAAACATGCAATAATACAAAACTCAATTTTGCCATAGATGAATTTAAAATAAAGTAAATATATATGTATATATATATATATAAATTCTCTGCTCAACATATTTTACAATAAATTTTATTATATAAAAAGCTAACTTTCTGTGTTATTTATGACAATTTATGTTACAAATATAGTTCACATCATAAAATACACTTATTAAGATAATTAAAAAATGTTTCCAGTAATTATTATTCACAAAAACAATAGTTGATATTTGTATAGTTACAATGAACATGTTGTTTCATATGTCAAACAATATGTTTTCAAACATATACATATTACGTTAAAAACAATATTTATCAATTACAACATTTTAAAAAATGAATATACTTTGGACCAAACAATTTGATATTACCCAGTGCCAAGTGCCAAAAGTGTAGCTTCTTCTAGCAATGTCATTTGATCAATGGTAGGCCTGTGGTCAAAAACTCAATCTAATTACTATATTAAATACACACACATTGATATGGAGATATATTTGCATAACTATGTAAATTTTAGTAATATGAATCAATTAAAGAGAATTTCTATAGTATTAATAAAAATAAGTATGTTATATTTTAATTACAGCAAGAAAATGTAAATGTATTTTTTAAAATAGTAAACAAACTTTATATATGTTAACGTGACGTACACCTCTTCTAAGTACACAATAAGAAAGAGTTATAATAAGTAAGCAGTGTTAGTATAGCTTACAATGAAAATACATAGTACAATTACATAATGACAAAAGTGAACTTTTATGCAATATATTAATATACATATATATATACTTTTTAAATATTATGATATATTTATATTATATTATATATTAATATAGTATTATATGTATACACATATTATACAATAATATATAGTATTTTATATATATATAAATCCTAAAGTTATGTATTATAACATGCATGTCTATAGATATAATTCTACGTTCATGCACAGTAACCAACTTTAGTGGAACAAAAATGATAGATTGTATTAAATCAAAATTAATTATATATAAGAAGAAAGTTAATTAAATATAAAATCTTTTATGTATAAATACGTTGAATGTTTCAACTTTATCAATTTATTTATCTCCTTTTTATTACAGCATTTTTAAATCAGTAATGGACAATAAAGTTTATCTACATATTTATCTCATAAATAGTATTTTACACATATCCTACAAATTAATAAATTCGTAAATAACGAATGTAATAACATAAAATTAATATATAATTCATACCTTTATATATTTTTTTAGGCATACCTCTTTGTTTTACTTATTATGTTTACATTAATTATTATAAAAAATGTATATATTACATGTTTACTACACACTTTCTTATTTTTTAAGTATGTAGTCATATTGACTACTAAATTAAATTATTATCTAAGTTTCCTTTAGAAAAAATTACACAATATATAATGTACATACATAAAATATGAGCTCATATAAACTCTTTATTAGTTGATACTATAATGGTTTGATTTTGATAAGAGAAGAAGAGTTAAACTGTAAGTTTTCATAATTTTTATAATTTTTTAAGCCAATTTATCTTTATAGTACTGTTTATTTTATTTTTATTGATAAAAATAAAAAGAATGTAATACGATAATTTTCTAGAGTTAATCCCTATATTTTATATTTAAAATATTTCAGAATAAATGTTATATCTTTCCTTCTATGAGGCAATGATAGTAACTTATTTGTGATAAAAAAAAAGATTAAATATGTAAGCTGACATTAGTATGTACTATTACTTAGATGATTGCAGAACTCTTGTGGCTAATATGAGTTTTGTACTAAAAGTATCATATACTTGGATAATGCATATAAATTAATGCGCTGCCTCAAAATAGGGATTCCAGACTACACAATACCTGATTGTGACCCATAAGGAGGTGGAGAATCAAGTTCAGTCTCATCACCCCACTGTTGGGTAGTATGTCCCAACAGAGTATGTGTGTCTTCATTGCACAGCCGTTCAGGAAAGTTTACCCCATCGCCAAAACTGTAACCCACACCCTACCTTCTACTTCATGTAATCCCATCTATTTTTAGAGGTAGCGTATCTATTTATCTCTGATAAACATGTAAAAATTATGCAATATTTTGATTTTAGAATTTTATATAGCTTCTAATATTTTCAATATATTTCTGCTTTTCTTCGCATTTATTTTTGATTTATTATTTATAAAAACTGTATACATACAGAAAAAATAATGTTAAATATAGTTACGCCACTTCTAAGAATCAAATAAATATCAATTTGCAAGAACCAGATGCACAATATTTTTGATGATAGTAAAATAATTATACTGATAATCTCTATTAACACACAATATAATGCATCTACAAAAAATATACATTTTTGCATAAAAATAAACATAGCACCTATTTTACAATCCATCACAATAATTGTCTGTGGATTATATATAAAATAAAACCCTAATCTTATTATAAATATATAAATAAATTTTAATATATTTTATCATTGTAGTATAAATGTAATATTATTCGCTAATATTGTAAAAATTCCATTTTTCAACATAGAAAATTAATATTGTATTGACTAAAATTTATTATTGCAGAACACATTTCAACAAATAACAGAACACGCACCTCATTAATCAACAATTAATAAGAGCATTAGATACATATAGCTATAACATCAAAATTGTAATTTTATCAATTTTATGTTACTCTCAATGTTAATAATAATTCAATAAATTTTTTAAATATAACATTGGCCTTTAAAATAGAATTGAATAAAAGCATAAATAAAATAAGTACTTGCATGCATTGAAGCAAATATATATATGTAACTTTGTTACTCTGGAACTCTGTATAAAATAAATAATAACTGAAAAAAATGGTTCCGTAAAAAAGGAAGTGCATAAATTTAACAAAAAGATATGAAGAAAATGTTTCCCACTTCTTCTCCTATAAAGTATTTAAACATTTTTCAAATGTATAACAATATATATTATTTATTTTAATATTAACTGCCTTTTAATCAACAATATTAAGGAGTTCCATAGTAAGGTTTATATATAACTATCATTATATTGGCACTGTAGATTTCTATAATGCTGACCTGTTTCGGGTACTGCCCATGGAGTCATAAGTATTGGATGTGCCTTGATGTTGCGCACGTACTGGATAGGCGACACCATTTCCAAGACTAAAACACATTCAACGTATCCATCGCGTTTTAACGGCAATTACTATTGTATTTATGTACTTATGACAAACATAAATTAATATAGAATTATTGAGAAAATAAATGATATGTATTATTAAAATGTAATATGTATTATGAATAAAGATTAAAATCATTCTTGACTTTTCTTTGATATTTAATGTTGAATGCAGTACAAAATTAATTTACATAATTTGATTTTTAAGGCAGTTTATATAATCTATATTATACAAGATGTTTTACACAACTGTCTTACGGGACAAGTCATAGCATTAAAACGCCAGGAGATAGAAAAAATATTTATTAGAAAAATTAAATGATTTTGAGAGATGTATTACGTTGTGTATGTATCTTTTCCGGAAGTAGTGACATTTCAAAGATTTCAACTCATTGTAAAGAAAGACAACACAGTACTTTTTTTGTTAATATTTTCCTTATCTTCTATACGATAAATTTTACAAGATTAAAGTTAAAATATTTTTTAAACTAATGATTTTTCAACTCAAAAAGGTTAATATCTTCTTGTAGAGAATTAAAAAATGCATTGAATGGTGTATAAAAAAATATAAGGTAATGTAAAGGTAATAAAGGTAATATTGAAATTTTTGGAACATTACTACTTTTGGAGAAGACGCATGCATCACATAACGTATCACTCAAAACCTTTCAATTTTGCCTAATGAAATTTTCTTCTATCTTCTACTGTTTTAACGCTGTGACTTGTTCCATGGGACAGTTGCGTGAAACACCCCATTATTTATATTTTTACCATTTTCTTCACTTTTATCTAGAAGATAATATTACTTTTCCATGAAACTATACTACCACTTAACAAAAAAGCATACAGTACAACAGATAGTGCTATAGGTGAAAACATCTGTATATCTAAGTACTATTTACTATCATTATATTTAATAATAGAAAGAATTAAATTTCCTGAAATATACATATGAGACAATAACATTTATAAATTTGCAGTATTATATTATATATATATTCATGTATGTATATTAGGATACACATGCTCTTTTACATGATTCATAAGTATAAATTGTAATTACTACATAAATACAACAAGTGTACTAAATTCATCACATCTGTATATTGTGCAAATGGTTCATAGTCTTATGATAAACTTATATTTATTATATTATTATGATAGGAATACCATATTGAAATGTGAATTGCTAAATACTTGTTAAACTTACCTAGTAAAAATAGGAAGGAACCATAGTTTACGATTATCACCAAAAACTTCTTGGAAGTTATTGTATTTTCCAAGACTAAAACCATCCTTATCCTTCCCTGTGCGGAACATAGGTGGTGTAAATGCCTCTACAAATAATTCATAACATTTAGTGCATATTACAAGCATTTTATAAAACATTAAATAATTTTTGTATAACATGCTTTTAATTACCTAATGTAGATCTATTATGTAAAACAAGGTAGCAATGATAAAAGAAAAGGGAAGTTAAACTAACTGCAAACATCAATGCGACAAAGAATAAGAACAATAGATGGAATCTACCCATTCCATCCAATTCCCCCTATGAAGAAAATATTTGCATTATTATAAGATTAAAAAACAATGTACAAAGTTTTTTATATACATTTCAATTATATTTAAAGATTAAAAAAGAAACAATAAAACATTAAAACATTAAAAAAATTTAATTAAATTATATTCTTATAATTTTTATAATTTATTAAAACAGGTAATTTAGCGGAAATATCTAAAAAAATTGTATACTTACTTTCCAAAAACGTATAAGATATTGTAAAGATGTAGCAGTAATGAATATGCAATAAAGAAGGGCATATGCCAGGAACAACATGAAAAATTTATAATTGTGGAAACCTACACAATTGTTCACCCATGGACAGTGATGATCCATTTTTAAAACACATGTACTACATACACTACAATGGTGTGCTCGATCTGGCTTGATTAATTGACATTTCTCACAGAAACGTATGACTAAAATATATATTTTACATACAATACATTCCCTTAATATACAAATATGAAAAAGTAAACATTATACCTCCTTTTATAGTGCGATTTGTAACTGGAAGACCTTGTGCAAATCTCTCTAAGATTTGCCTCTGTGCTTCTTCCGTTCCAGCTTGATGAAATTTTTCCATTTCCGCATCTGGTATTTTAAACTAAAACATCATTTGGCACAAAACATCATTTTATTAATATTTTATATACATATGTTACTTTTATATTGTAATTGTTATATAGATCAAATTTTACCTTGTATGGTATTTCTATTAGGTCCGTAAATACAGTTTGCCAATAAGACCATAAAAATAATAGAAACAGGATGTGGTAAAAAAACAAATAAAAAGCTGTTGGAAAATAAAATAAAAACAATAAAGTCAGTAAATTTTTAATAGAAGTATATTTTTATTAACAATATTCTATTAGTAATTGTACAAACCTTTTTGAACATAATTATCTACAGTATCTAAAATGGAAAAGGAGACAAAATTAGTATACATGATATCATACAAATTTTTTACGTGTATTACAGATTGAAAATAATAATGAAATTTTATTTTTGTTACAAAATGTTTGCTATTAAGAAGAAAAAATCTATGAAAACACTTACAAAAACATAACTGCACCACATAAGCATAATACGACCATAAGACAATCGTCAAAATAAAAATAACTGGTATCCATTTTGCGGCTTTTACAAACCACCAACAAGATCCGTTTTGCTTTCCCATTCTATTCACTGTATTATAGTTATACATGTGTGCACAATTATATCATTCAGGTAAACATTATTTTTACCATTATCAAACCGATGCACCATTGCAGACACTTTGCACACAAAGTGTACATACGAGGCCGACACTTCCTTTATTACAAGGAATCATATTACGATAAATAGTCAAATATTATTTTATTTTTATTATTTATCTTCTGTCATCAACATTACGTATACCAATATGTATTAAATTATACAAAATAAGAGTTATTTTTTCGAACTGAAATGATATTTTACTTTTGTTGTCTATTCCATAACATCCTTAGATAAAACAGATATATGAGGGCATGTTTGTTTTAGATTTTAGGTATTAAATGTATACTTTACAATTATATTTAAAGATATACAAAATATAATTTCACTGCTTTTCATCAAGCTATGGCGTTCCGAAAAAGTGGCCAGTAAATGTCGACGATTTTCTTCAACAAAATTTAATTACATGATATGATTGATACCATACTTTTATCTCTTGTCATTATTGTACATAAAGGTTAGTAAAATTAAGTTTCCTAAAATTACCAATTTTCAAGTTCAACAATCATATGTGCATAATCAATATATAAGAAATATATTAATTGTATGAGAATATAATTTGCGATAGAAAAGTAGATATGAACTACCATTAATACTAAACAGGAATCTTAAGATATATAAGTTGGTAAATTGGAAATTGCGCACAATTTAAAAATTTCATTTTGGCGAGTAACTGTAAGGAATTCAAAAATTAAATTATGATTAAATTATGATTAAAATATGATTATAATTATATTTTAAAATATAATTAATCAAACAGCTTCACACAATAATTATAAATTATCTATTTATAATTATTTGAACATAAATTTACAATATATATATATTTATATTACATTTTATATAATTAAAATATTATTGTCTACAACAAAGAATTTACTTCATTATGGCTAGGTTACAAAATTACGAAATTCTATTTATATAGACATTTGCCTAAAAAAATATATGTAATATTCTTAATCATTTGTCACACATTCGGTATTCTTTATTACAACTTTATTATAGTTATTTACAGACACTGGGATATAGAAAATCGTTCACAATTTAGCATCTTTTACTTACATAATTATATGATTTCATAAATATTTCAAAAATACAAAAAAGGCAAAAAACTTTGCCTCTTTAAAATGGATTACTAATAGCATTGAATGAGTATGCTTTTTATTAATACTGAATATATGTATATAACACAATAAATTAAAGAGAATTGTTACTTTGTGCAATATTAAGCTTCAGATGCTAATCACAAGATTACTCATTAAAAAATTAAATAATTTTTAATTTTTTATGAAGTAAGTCCTTTATGTTTTCGCTTCATTCTTGCATATGGACCTATATCAGGATCCATAATGAAATCATATAAAACAGAAACCCAAGAGTTATGCTGTGGTAAGTTATCGTAAAACTCAGAAGCAATTCGTTTTACCTAGAAAAAAGTAAAATATTTTTATAACACATACTTTTCATAAAAATAGATACCCAATAATATAAATGCTCTTTTTTGTTAAAATGGATTGCACTCACTTCTGGTAGTCTTGAACCAGGAACAGCAGGAAAATCATGATGTTCATTATGGTATCCAACATTAAATGTAATCCAATTTAATGGGCCATAATAACTATAAGTTTCAAAACCCTTTCTATACATATAATGTTCTGATATAAAATGTCCAGCAACAGGGTGTAATCCCATTGCCATTACTGATCCAGAAAGTAAATAGAGTAAGGCTTTTCCACCTATAATATAATATTTGTGTAATAACATACTAATGTGATATTATTATTATTACCAAACTCTTACCAAAAAAATACCATATCAAACTATCAAAAGTAAGTTGTATTACTAAATTTATATATTCCATTAATGTAGGTGCCATTGGATAAACAACAAGAGGTCTAAATGCATAAAAAAATGGCTGTAGATACAACCAACAGAATTTTCCAAATGTTGTGCAAAATAATTTTGCTTCTAGTAGTGTTGGTAAATCTGTATCTAATTTTTCATCACCTTGATACTGCAATTTATTTATTAATATGTATTATATATATTTATAATATTTATAATACTGTTTTATTCCGTTTATATTTATATTTATAAAATATATTTTATTTTTACTTACACGGTGGTGTATAAGATGATATTTTTTAAAGCTGACTGATACTGGTATACCTATAGGTAAATTAGCAAAATATCCAAATAATCTATTAGCTCTGGGTCTAGCATGTCCAAAAGCAAGATTATGTGCTATTTCATGTATTGCTACAAATAAAATGACGAAATACTTAAATTATTTATTAATAATTAAATTTTATATTTAATTAAATAATAATTAAATTTAATATTTAATATTGAATTAAAAAGTCATATAGATATGTTTGAGCAAAAATAATGAAATTAGATGATTTAGTTATATCATAACAATATAATAGATCTATCAGATAAGAATTAATGAGTCATTTCTCTTAAAAAATAATTCTCTTCAATTACAGTCATAAAAGCTTTAATGAGTGCCTTTATATATAGGAAATTTCTTTTTTTTTTGCTATAATATGTATATAATTAGATAATCTTTTTGTTTCATATAAATTTGGCAATAATCACAATATTTCAAGAGATATTAAATATTTTACACAAACTAATTAAAAAACATTTTCTACTTACCTAACATAAGAGAATGATTAATTACACCTCCAAAACAATATGCTAGAAGGAACAACATTGGATAACTTAAATTTTTTACAAAATATATGGAGATAAACTGAGTTAAGACCATCCCTGTTACCACCCATTTAAACTTTGGGTCATATCCAAATAATTTTTTTATTTGTGGATATTTTTCTGAAAAGCAAGAAAAACATTTAAAAATATCTCATAAATAAAAATATACAGCATGTATTGTAAAAAGTTATCAATGTACAAAATTTAATTCACTGAGCATGAAAATATAACTACGTATTAATTGTATTTTGGAACGTTAATATCATTCGGTATTTGTTAATTTTATTTATTATATTTCGTTAAACATTAACAACTCAAACTTTTATTTCAAATGTAAATTAAAAAAGCTGATAAAGTTTTAAACGTTTATAATACATTGCATTCATACCTAAGATTATTTTTCGTCGTGATGCATGAGGTTCTTCTGTGTAAACCCACTCAAAATCAGTTCTCGAAACGTGTTGACCCATCTTTACATTTAAAAAATTTTCAACTATTTTTATTAACTAAATATTTAGTAATTTGCAATCAAACAACATACGACAAACGTTAAATGTATGCTTTAAGATAAATACAAAACATACGGATATTTCATACCCGGCATTATCTACAATCGACTGAGTTAATCACTTAAGTACTGATTACAGCGCAATCTATCAATGTAAGAAAACCAAACATGCAAGTGAAATAAAAATTTATATTCAATGGAGTATACAAATTTTTACAGTTACCACAATAACCTGCAAGAACGAGGCATCATATAATAAGATTAGAGAATACATTTTTCAACGCTCAACAAAACATATACTTTAATATAAGTGATTGTTCATTGCACTATATAGTCTCTAATTTTGATTAAAAACCAATTCTCTTATTGTATTTTAAATTACTTTGCTCTTTTTATTACATTGTGAAGATAATTTTATATTGGTATTTCTTTTCTAAATTACATAACAGTTATACCATATGATTATCTTTAAATAAGATAGGTATAATTATATATTTCTATCATATCTATTGTTATATCTGTACAATTCTATCTATCTGTGAATCTATTCTTATAATAAATTATAGTTATTTGTTAAATAACATATGTTTTATATTAATATTGTCTGAAATAATTAATCATTTTTATATAAAACTGTTAAAATTCGTATATGAAATGCTAAAAATAATGTAATGTATATGAAATTAAATTTTTTATACTATTAGATTATTAATATATAACATATAGTGGTAGTACAGAATTCCTTTTATAAATATAGAAAGTATTTACTAAAAATATTAAATATAATGTTTAAAATTAAGAATATCGTTATTGAATTTATATTATCGTGTATGCCCTCTACTGAACACTGCGTGAACTAACTCGCGCCAAATTCAAATTGTAAGGTACCGCAGCCGGAGCAACGAACAGAGAGAATTTATCTAAGTAAATATTGATTAACTGTCAAATTATTTATCAGTGGTAATTATAATCACTCTCCAATTTGTACATTTGTCTAGTTAATTATCATAGAAGTTATCATGGAAAAGAACATTGCAAGGACATAAATCCTCGCTCTATTATGTGATAAATTCCAATGGGAACAATTGTTATTGATATTAGCCAATAACAATTTTTCTTATTGGATCATAAACAAATTACGTTTGTTAGGTAAAATTCCAAGACATAAATAGATTGAACAATGATAGAAAAGACAGTGAAAACAGTAAAAACGTGAAAATCATAACAGATTAAAAGTTTCTCAATCTGTAGTTAGTTGATCAAAATATAGTTATCTATTTGAAGCTTAACTCATTTAAGTTTGTGTTCCCTTCTGTGTTTTTTCTAAACCATTCGTTAATTATCAACTTTATTTAATCCAAAACACCTAAATATGTGCAGAGTGCTTTAACACTTTACAGGCAACAATTCAAACTGAAATTCCCCAAGTCACACGACAATATCAAAAAATTAATTTAATAACTCGCATATTATCATACGTAGGGAATTATAAATTGATTCAGTTTCTTAACTTGCAATTATTAAAACAATTTTAAAAAACAGTTAAACGGCATATATTGTTATTAAAAATAAAGTTATTTGTTTATAATATAAGGAATTTTATGAAATCGGCATTAAGTACAACCATTAGGTTTGCTTTGCAAGTGTCCGTTCTAAATACTGCGGATCGATGGCAGAATCTTTTAGTGATTTCGGTATTTTTTTGTTTTTATGTGAAGTGAATATGTCAAAGATTGTAGCGATGTATAGTTAGCATTAAGATTAAGTTGAAACTAATTATAATTACATATTATAAGTGCGAACATCGATGAAGCGTTATGAATTATTAATTACCAGCTGGTCATAGTTGGAATCACGACATGGCATCTCGCAGGTGAGGCACGTTTTTATACTTGCATAAAAAATATATAATTAACATAATTCACGAACGATCTGTGAACAAGCCTACTTATTTTTCGGTGCTAACCGTAGATTAGCTAAATAGATTCAGAGGTAAATTATGCGCACTTAAATTAATTAACATCGTTGAATTCTTCATGTCCAAAAATGGATACAATAATTTCGTTTTATGTATACATTGATTACACATATTTATACTCTGTATAGTTATTTTATGTCCTATATTTTGTCATTATAAAATGAAACTTTCCAATTATTTACATACAGCGTGCTTAATCATATTATTGTAGCATCATTATTCGTTTTTGTCACCGTTATTAATAATAAATAACGAATAAAGGTTGAATATATTAGAATAGATCTATAAAATATTAGATATAAAAAGAAGTAATTTGAATAGATTATAGGTTTTTAAAATTAAATTAAACTTACAATATATTGTTTTGAAATAAAAATTCTGCTTATTATAATTTTTTGGAAAAATGTTTTTGTCCTACGGAAATATAAACATTTTTATTGCAGATGGTTTCATCCGAATATATCGGGTTTAGAAGCAGAACGTTTATTAATGGAACGGGGTTATGATAGTTCATTTTTGGCACGACCAAGTTCATCTAATCCTGGTGACTTTACATTATCTGTTAGGTATGTACATAATATATCACATAGATTATCTGTTTATATAGTTATAAGACATTTGATATCTTTATATTATCCTTAGACGGAATGGTGAAGTGACTCATATTAAAATACAAAATACAGGGGACTTTTACGATCTTTACGGTGGTGAAAAGTTTGCAACATTATCAGAACTTGTACAATTTTATATGGAAAATGGAGGACAACTGCGAGAAAAGAATGGAGAAATTATTGAATTGAAGTATCCATTGAATTGTGCAGATCCAACAACTGAAAGGTATTTGTACAATAAAAACAGAATATATACATAATATCTTGCATAATAAACATTACAGCAAAGTTTGTTATGTATTGGAATATTTTCTTGTTATTGTTACTTCAAATGCACGCATATAGCATGGTATGTGTTAATAGTAAAATATGGGTAAAGGTGGTTCCATGGCCATTTATCAGCTAAAGAAGCAGAACGTTTAATGCTGGAGCGAGGTAAAAATGGATCTTTTCTGGTTCGTGAATCCCAAAGTAAACCTGGTGACTTTGTATTATCTGTTCGCACAGATGATCGTGTTACACACGTTATAATACGATCTCAGGTTAATTACATTTTATATTTTTTACTGCATATCTTCATTATATTTAATATTTTTATAAATATAAAATCTTTGACATTTCATTATCTGTAATAATGTATATTGCAGGATAATAAATATGATGTTGGAGGAGGTGATAAGTTTGATAGCTTAAGTGATCTGATAGAACATTATAAACGCAATCCAATGGTTGAAACAAGTGGAAGTGTTGTCCATTTACGGTAATATAAAAACTTATTAATTTCTATATATGCGATAGAATATATATATTGTCATAATATATTTATTATTTTCTAGACAACCTTTCAATGCTACTCGTATAAATGCCAGTGGTATTGAAAGTAGAGTAAGACAGTTACATAAAGAAAATGGTTGTTCAAATGGATGGTTGTGGAATGGTGCCACAAGTAGCAATGAAGGCGGAGCAGGGCGTGGTAAAGGAAAAGCCGGGTTCTGGGAAGAATTTGAGTCGTTGCAACAGTTAGAATGTCGTCACTTATTTTCCAGGAAAGAAGGATTACGTTCTGAAAATCGAGCGAAAAATCGATATAAAAACATCTTACCATGTATGATCTTTTTCTTTCTTTATTTTTTTAATTTAATTGTGTTTGTACATAAACTTTAATAACTGTTCTATAGTTGATCATACAAGAGTACGTTTGAAGGACGTTGATCCAAATATTCCTGGATCTGACTATATTAATGCTAACTATATTAGGGTAAATTTATTTAATATTTGTAGTATTTTATATAAATATTAAAATCTATTTGTATATGTGGGTGCATATGTATATATATTTATAGAATGAAGAAGGAGATGGACAAGCTAGTGGAATTAATACGTGTGGTGATGGTGGTTCATTTAATAAGTGTTATATTGCAACACAAGGTTGCCTTCTAAATACAATTCAAGATTTCTGGCATATGGTATATCAAGAAAATACACGAGTGATAGTTATGACGACTAAAGAAATGGAAAGAGGAAAGGTATGCTATTTAAAACTATTCATTCTTAATTGAAATTTTATTTTAAAAATATGTATATTTTTTAGAATAAATGTGCTCGATATTGGCCAGAGGAAGGTGAAGTTACCGAATATGGAGGTGAATGGAAAGTGCGTGCTTTATCTCGTACTTCAACAGCAGATTATACATTACGAGAATTTTTATTACATGGAAATAGATCCGGTTTCACAGAATCCAGACGGATTTACCATTATCATTTTCAAGTACCTATTATAGCTATTATTATTTATGAAACGCTCACACATATTTAAAAAAAATAAATTGATTGCATTATATTAACATTTTAGGCATGGCCTGATCATGGTGTTCCGTCAGATCCCGGATGCGTGTTGAACTTTCTTCACGATGTTAATGCGAGACAAGAATCAATTGCTGCTTCTCTTGCTTCAAGCGGTCAAACTGCATCATGTATAGGGCCAATTCTTGTACATTGTAGCGCAGGAATTGGTAGAACCGGAACATTTATTGTTATCGACATGATTCTTGATCAAATCAAGCGGCATGGTAATAAAATTTTTATTTCACTAATTGTCCAAGATTTTCTATATATTATATTTGTAGGATTGGATTGTGAAATTGATATTCAGAGAACTATTCAAAGAGTACGTTCACAAAGGTCGGGAATGGTTCAAACAGAAGCGCAATATAAGTTTGTTTATCTGGCTGTATTACACTATATTGAAACTGTATCTCAACGGATGCAAGCAGAGCAAGTAATTATAATAATTATGAAACTAATTGATTATATTTTCTCAGCTTCTATATATCGATTTATGTTGTATCTATTATTGTTTTTACAGAAATCTCTTCATTTAGGTCGAGAATATACTAATATCCGATATAAAAGCGAAACGAATACTACAACTATAGGCGATATTCCGGTCCCCACATGTACTGCAACAACTCTTTCAACGTCAACACATTTTACATTACCCACTCCTATTAATAGTTTGAGGCCAAAGTAATTAACATTAATGTCATCAAATAACGAGATTTTTAAAAAGCAAAGAAGAGGCTTTGTTACTCTTACCATATGTGGTTTTGAGCTTTCGATATTATCGTAACATACTCTATAAAAGCTTAATTTTCAAATTAATTGATTATTCCAAATATTTTTCAAAATATGTGTCATCATAATGAATTTTCGTACAATACATGTATTTAATTAGTGCGTATGCACATGAACGTAAACGATATGTAGAAATTATAATATCACCACTTTGCACTTGAATTGTTGATTACTTAAAAGTAATCGGCAATATATTAGAACATTACATTAGAGAAAAATAATATTTTTTGCAACTTAATCGCAGTACTGAAATATAAAAAAAACTTAGAATACAAAGTCTCAATAGTAATTATGTTAAGTGTAATCAAAGTATATAATTGCTTTTCATATTATTTCGCTATCTGTATTTCATCAACTATTAATTGGATAACAGATTTATCTAGTTATAGTTATCATTTTTCATGCTACTTATCTTCTATAAAATATATTATCAAATCCTTTCTTAAAATTTCAATATTTCTTCGAATAAACAACGAAAATTTGAACATTTTTCTAAGTTTCAGGTGTAGTATTATATATTGTGCCTCAAAACATATTAATAATTGTTTTTATTGTGATTATATAACTGTACAAATTATCTAGTAATATTTAGGACTGACTTTTTTATATAGAATTTTCTTTTTAATATTTTTTCAAAGATCACAAATAAGAAACCTTTATTCTTTATAAATTTCATTATATTACAAGGCAGAACGCGCATAGATGTGATACATTCAGTTTCACGTACAATAAATAATATGGCGATTCTTTTTTTCTTACAATTCACATTTGTTACTTTTAATATTTCGGTTGTACTTAATTATATCATAAATATTAGTATCGAACTTTATTCATCAAATCGTAAAAAAGTTTTATATTAAATATTAATATTAAAAGAGATGGAGATGATAAATATGAAAATCAAAGTTAAAATTTTTATACTTTAACAAATATTCGTTAAAATTTTTTTTAATCATCTGCGCACAAATTTTATCATTTTTATCATTCTGACACGAATTTCATTATCTTCACTCTGAAAATTAGGTAGAACTATAGAAGTATGTAAGTAGAAGTTTTGTTATAGCAAAAGTTACTATAATGCTTACAGTTTGTATGTATCTCCTGAAATTTTTATAAAAACGTACATAACATATATATTAAATTATATGTGCTTCAATATTATTAATGCCTATTTTATATATTTTTTGTATTTGTTTCTAATACTTGAAATATATATGTTTACATTAGAGCAGTGCTGGTGAAGTATGCATCTGAGTGAGTCCTGCCTTACAGATTGAGTCACAAATTTGATATTCTTAAAAGTATATTGTTACATTATTCCAAAACCAAATCAATAATAACTACTTTAAATATATATTTAAAAAATCTGAGATCTGTACTAAATTCTTTTTACATATTTTATAAAATTTCAAGATTTAAATATTGATTTGTTTATTTACAATAAAGTTTTATTTATCTAGTATGCCATAATGCAAGTATTATATTTGTTTATATTTATATAACAATAAAATATAATTATTTTTATATTTATTTAAATAACAATAATTCTATAATTTTTTGGTATGTATGTTTTCAAAAAGGAAACAGTTGTATTTTTTATTAATTTTTATCTTATTTAATGTACCTTGGTTTTGGAGAAATGTTATATATTATACTTCTAAATATTATTGTATCTTATTGCTATCAAAGACATACTGTATGTGATACTAACTATGGCATTAAAGAATTTATGTTATAAAATTCTGTATGTAGGGCATCATATAAATATTATATTAATATTGAATTAAAAAGATTCTAATAATTATGCATAGTTTAAATTGCAATGCAATAAATATCAGAGTTATGTTTAAATGTAAATAATTTGGGTTCTTATGAATAATAACAGACAAATGTACATTGTATAGTGTTAAATAAACGTATAATAAACTTACTATTAAGTATATAAAATGATGCTTAAATGTGAGAAAAGAAGAAACAAGAAACTACTACATTTAAAAAATTGTTCTTTGTGAAACATGTTTCATTGCAGTTTAAAGGCTTTTTCATAATAAGAATGTAATGTAAGAATAAAATGTTGCCAAAAAAAATAGATTTTAATTAATTCCAAAAAATATTACGAATTATCTTTATAGCTTTTTTAATGTTCATATACATTGGAATAAAATGGTAATTGTAATTAAATACAATTTTTTTTTTATTTCATTATTAATATAATACATAATCTAATACAGGAAAGAAATGTAGAATATTTTCAATCTGTTTACATCTTATAAAACTTATAAGTTAAAATTATGTAGTAAAAATTTTACTAAGAGTAGACTTAATAAAATTAGAACTACATAGAATAGGTTATATTGTACAAGCTTGTACAACACATATTAAAATCATCGAAAGCAAAAAAGTAAGCTTATAAAATATTGTGAAAACATATATGATATACGTATTATTACTGATAATAATATTTCAATAATATAATTTCAGTAATAAATAATTCAGATAAAATTCATACGAGAATTTTCAATGGTGAAAAATGCATGTTTTGCTTAAGCGGTTTTTGGCCCCATTTACATCTAATATTCGATGTATTCGTAACATAAGTTATAGTGCAATAAAATATGCGTTACCGACAGATAATGTAATGTATATTTTTGATAGAAATACAAAACTGCTACAGAGGGAACGTGCTGCACAATCTGTTGATGTAAAACTGTATGATTACATCAAAGATGAAGTAGGCTACAGACTTGCAGATAGAATATTTGACATAAAAAGAAATTTCAAAAAAGCACTTGATTTAGGATGTGGTCGTGGTTATGTATCAAAACACATTTTGGCAGAATGTGTGGAAGAATTAATCTTAGTTGACATGTCAACTAGCTTTGTACATCAAGCAGAAATCACTGAAAAAGTTAAAGTATCACGGATAACTATGGATGAAGAAAATTTTTCAGTTGAACCAAATAGTTTAGATTTAGTAATAAGTTCATTAAGTCTGCACTGGATAAATGATTTACCAGGATGCTTTAGGAATATTAATAAAAGTTTAAAAAATGATGGAGTCTTTATAGGAGCTTTGTTTGGAGGAGAAACATTGTTTGAATTAAGGTAATTTTAAGGATAAATTAAGTATATGTTAAATCTACAAGTTTAGGTTTTTGTTTTTACAGGAGTTCCTTACAATTGGCAGAATTAGAAAGAGATGGTGGAATTTCAGCACATATTTCACCATTTGCAAATATTAGAGATATTGGAGGTTTATTGACAAGAGCTAATTTTACTATGTTAACCATTGATGTGGATGAAATTGTTATTGGATATCCAAGCATGTTTGAATTAATGTGGGATTTAAAAGGTGATATTTAAAATCTTTATAATTCTTATTTGTATCTTACTTGAAGTTTGTTTAATTGTTTACATAATTTTGCAGGAATGGCAGAGAATAATGCAATAAAGAACCGAAAATTACGTTTAAATAAAGATACTGTTCTTGCTGCTGCATCAATATATAAAGAACTATATGGAAAAATTAAAGAAGATGGTACTCCATATATACCTGCAACATTTCAAGTAATTTATCTATTAGGTTGGAAGCCAGATCCATCACAACCAAAACCCTTAGAAAGAGGTAGTGGGAAAGTATCACTTAAAAATTTATATAAATTAGACGAAATTGTAAAAGAAATAAAAGATATTAAAATGGACGAAGATAAATAATCGTTGTACATAGTATATGAAGAACTGTAAATATTTGTATTAAATACAAAATTCAATGTATTTATTATAGAAATCTTTTTATAACTTATTAAAATAGGTTAATCAGTAATTCATCTCATAATTAACATATTTTCATTTATATTATACAATATTTTCTTTTAAAGTTACGATTTATGTTCATCAATTTTATCTTTATGAGCTATAGCACCTTTTTCTATAAGATCAGGAATTTCAACTGCTAACCAAGGTCCAAGCTAAAAATATAAGAAATCTTTAAATATATCTAATAACAAAATTGATGATTTGTAAAGACTTATTTATAAATAGAACAAACTTACTCCTAGTGCCATGGCATGTGCAATTCCAAATTTTGGTACATTACGTGCCCATAACGGTTTAAAATGATCTGTAAGACAAATCTTTCCACCTCTGTACATTTTTGCTGTTTTACCATCTAATTCTGGTAAAGCAATTTCAGGTGCTGTTATAGGATATGTAACAGGTATCTGAATAAAAAATTATATTTTATCAGAAAATGAAAAAGCTTAGTGGAGTCTATACATTTAATAAATATACAAAAAAGAAAAATTACTTACATCAAACTCAATTTCAAATTCATATTTTGAAAAGTTATGTATATACCAACATTTACCAAACCATTTTGTACCCTCTTTATTTGATTCCAGACGAAACCAATCATTGTCAGATTCTTTATTATTTCTCACATACTGAAAAACAAATAAGAATTTCTTGAAATCAATACTAAGTACATTGGAAATGTATTATACTTTAAGTACAATTAGTATAACAAAAACAATTCTAAGTTCTTCTTTTTGGGATTTTAAATAACCATATGGTAAACTAAATATTAAATATAGAACATACTTTAATTAAAGCTTGGTATTCTTCTTTCAATCTCTGCACCCATAACTCTTTATCCCTAGGTCCAGCTTTTGTTTGTAATAATGGAATATTACTTAATGTCTTCTTTGTAGACTCATCTACCATCTTAATTATTATTACAACAACACAGGTCTATGGCTATGACTTCTATGTAGATATAGAAATGACAAATGTGTTACAATTCAAGTATTGCATCTTTTTTACATCGCGTAGAAAGTGCGACAGTGCGATTAAGAGCAATCGATATATCGAAAAAATTCATATATAGAAAGACAGATAGGGATATTTGAAAAATTTAGTTATAAATAAACACATAGGTTAGAGGAAGTTTAAAAAGTTACATCTTTTTCAATGTAAATATTTTAATTTCATTACATATTACATTCATTTTTATTCATTAGAAAGTAAACTCGATAAGTTGAGAGATAATATCTATTAGTGATCAGTAAACGCTAATCACGCGGTTGCAGCCCGTGACGTGCTGAAGTACTCTACTCGCGTTACAATTTCAAACAATTCAGAAAACTAACTCGACATTTAAATGAAGAAATATACAGCGAGAAAGATTAACTTGAACAATAATTTCTATTTAAAACGAAATATTTATAATAGATTGGCTACTTTAACAAAGATTTGCGCTTTACTGAAATTTATTTAGACTCTGAGCTGTGTGACAACTCTAAAGGTGCAACGATTTTAACGATTCCCTTTCTTTTAGATCGCAGAGTGGTGTATCTGCTCAGATTTACGTAGCAATCTACGATTTATTTGTTATCTAGTAAGACAAATTTTTATTAATTAATGCTAATAAACATTAATTTGATTGGAGTTTACAGTATTAGAAAACGAGCAATTTATGTCTTGGCAATATCTTCTTATGACAATAAAAGTAAATACAAAATTTGAGAGTGATTGCAGTTGTTACTAATAAATAATTTTGACATTTAATTAATAAACTTGTTTGCTTGGCTAAGCTGCTGTACAGTTAAATTCGCAGCGCTAGAAGTTACCCTTTTATCATATAAGATATTCACACTAGAGGGGGCCACGGAGCTACACCAGTTCAGAACATACTATCCATATTCGCAAAGGTAGTGACATTAAAATTTTTCGTGTTGCATGCATTTCAATTTGATTTGCTCCCTGGGCTGTTGAAAGTATTGTGTGATAAATTGTGTCATGTTAATCAGGATTCGAAAAGGGATATCAATTGAAAGAAAATAATACTGATGCACCATGGCTGATTCATCTTATGAGAAAGGACTTACAGAACTTTCAAAAATGAAGGTAATGCAAATGTGTCTTGCTGATATGTGTCTACACCCGGGAAGCTAACCTTAAAATTAGGAGAAATTTTTTATGTAATGTAAAACAATCTTTTTTACATTAATTTCTGTTTAGCTTGTATAATTGTTTTAGACAGATACAATTTCGCTTTATTAATATTTAAAAATTATATTTGTTGAATATAAAAAATTTATATACATCTTAAGATTATTAAAGGGAATTATATATAATTATAGATAAATATTATTGAACAGGTTGCAGATCTGAAAATTGAGTTAAAACAAAGAGGACTACCTACTACTGGCAATAAAAATGAATTGGTTGAAAGACTTCAATTAGCAATTCATGGTGGTATATGCTTTCGAATGACTTTTAAACTGTTTTGTTTTGTGAGAGCTACCTATTGATAAAATAATGTTTTCATTGAATGTCTAGATTCTGCACTATCTTTAGATGAGACTACAGAGGAAATTTTAGATGAAGATGCAGTTCTTGGCGTAATTAAAAAAATATGTTTTGTATATTATTTGATTTTAATATGACATTGACAATATACCTGTTTAAATAGGATGAAGAAATAGAAGAGCTATCAAATAAACCTGACTCACAAGAAGGTAATGAAAAAAGAAAATTGTCTACTGAAAGTAATGTAAGTGCTAAAAAGATAGTTCTAAATCGAAAACCAGTAATTGAAGAAATTAAGAATGAACAAACAGAAAAGATTGAAATTGATACAAAAACTATTGAGACTGCACCACCAGAAAAAAAGATAATTAAATTATCAGAGCTTGGTATCAAAGAGGTAATATTTTCTTTTTACTATATCTTGCAGAATTATAGAGATCAAATATAAAATGCTAATAAATTTATCGTATTAATAGAGATTAGAAATGAGAGCTAAGAAATTTGGATTACCATTATCAGAAGCTGCTAAGAAAGAAGCTAGATCTGCAAGATTCAGTATTAATAATCAGAATAATAAGTCAGCTGCATCTGTAAAAACACCTGTGGTATATATATTTACGCAACTACAAGTGTAATATCTTTGTTTGTTTTCTAATATTATCTATTGTGTGCATTTGCAGCATACAACTTACGAAGTTCTAAAGAAGCGAGCAGAAAGGTTTGGTACGTCTGTTTCTAGTTTAATGGAAAAGGTAATTAATTATGTTAATAAAAAGTTTACTATATTAAATGTAAATACTAATTCTATTACATATTTTATAATTCTTTTATATTTGCATATTTCAGGCTGAATTAGAAGCCAGAATAGAGAAAAGAAAAGTCAGATTTGGCGAAGTGAAACCTACAAATAAGAAAGTATTTTATAATAAAGTTAAAATTGTTAAATGATATTCAGTGTTATATACCAAATAGCAATTTAGATTGCAAATTTTACATTAAGTTTTCTTACTTCTAATAAGACTATTGTATACAAAATAAAAACTCATTGTATTTGTTATAAAATGCATGACAAAAAGATTTTTTTCGAGTAATCTTTTATTTTTTTTTAAGAACTGTACGAAAATTACACACATGCACTTTACACTTATATTTCTATTCAATTAAAATAATTATAAAAAGAATAAAATATATGTATATATATCATATACATAAATTGTGTGTGTGTATATATATATATATATATATATATATATATATATATTTCAGGGTATTGTATGAAATAGAGATTATATGCAATGTTGTAATATTATTGTTTCCATTTTAAATGAAGGAATTATTGACATATTAAATTAGCATATAATACACATCTTGGTTTTTGTATTAGAATAAATAATTAACTTGTAATATGTGTATATTTATAATATTAAAATTTTGTATTATTATAGAACAATATGATTAGAAACAAGTAAATAAATTGTTTTTCTATAAAATACATTAAAATTTAGCGCACGGAAAAAAAATAAAAACATTTTCTGATATTCAATATATTGAATTTTATTACAAAATGTATTTAGGCTACAACATGTAATATAATAATTGCGTTTGGTCTAGACCCTTACGAAAAAGAAAAGCTAAACTGCACCACATTTACTGTTATCTTGCTAAGACACTTCGTTCGTTTACGTTTCAAGGAAACATTTATAAATGCGAAAAAGTTTGGTACATGTATGAAAATGAAGTACCTCTTTATAAGTTATAAGAACCACGTTTAATACGTTTATCCAGTTTTGAGATCGAATCATTGTGTTATCATAAATATATGTTGTACGAGCTATACGATTTTTTCTAAATGCGGACATGCCATGCATAAAAGCAATACAAATGTACATGAATATATATATACATATCTTTTAAAAAAATTCATTTCACTTTCCCTGTGTTTCAATTTTTTGTTTAAAGGATAAAAAACAAATCTTCGGACATATTGAAAAGTTTCAAACTTTTTTCTTTTTCTTTAATATAAATTCGCATGATCATTGTATTATGAAAAATTAAATCTCCAATAATACTTTACAATACAATGAATGCTTTATATGGTATCAATAACCATTCGAGCATTTGTGAAAGAACTTACATTACATATTCGCATTTTCCTTGAAGCGCACCCTAAGAACGAATGGTCCGAAGACACATGTTATATTTAAAGAAGACAGTAGATTGTACATTAAACAATATACAACTGAAATATATCGTATAGATGTAAAAATCATAAAATTATCGGTAGTACACTCTCTATTACAATATACGGCGTGTTGTAATGTGTGTATATAATCGTTCAAATTCGGTTGTTAAACGTTCGACGAAGTAAAGGAAACTATCCCAAGCAGCTAATCCTAAGATAATGATTTCCTTTTTTTATTTATATAACTTCTATTTATATTAGGTATGCACGTACTTGTGATAACTAAACAGATACATGATGATTCTTTGTGACGCAAAGACACTATCAGCTTTGCGGATCGATCAAAGAGCAGGAGGCTGTTATATGTAAAATGAAAAATGAATGTTAAAAATTATTTTATATCCTGATTATTATTTTTATTATCTTTTTTTTGCACGTAATCGTATCTGTTCAGTGAATCACTTAATCCAATTAATTTCGTTTGTATTCATTTCTTGATCAAAGCAATATTCTTCGAATATTTATCTAAGAAGTGAATTCAAGGAGTAGTTTTCTCAAAGCTGCACTGCAGCTACGAACAGCTTTGAACTTGGGTCTAGTTCATAATGATTTCTAATAGTATGAAACATTCCTTTTTTTTTTTTTTATTAGTTCTTTACATGTTGTTATTATTATTGTGTGTATATATATATTTTTATTTATGTATATATATATATATTTTCTTTTTTTTAAAAAGCTTGAAATATGTCTTAAAAAGATTTTCGGGAAAAAGAGCGGATGTAGAAAAAATAAGAAACAAGAAAACCATTTTAGTCTTTGTCGACAATGTTGAACGTATTAAAAAAAAAAGTCATATTCACACATATATAGCTACATATAAACGTATTTATATGTACTTTTAATTGCACTCCATAATAAAATAAAAATTTCTTCCGTTAAGTTATTTCCCCGATTATCTACACACGCTTAACGTCAGTTTCGTTAAATTTCTTTTCTCTGACTTTCTTAGAGTTGGACTTAGCAGCCTCCTGTTCTCTAATATAACTATATCCAAATGTTTTATTCTTTTATTATAATTATCAAGTAAAATTTGTAAAATACAATATACATACTACCTATCATAAATTCTTAATTTTTCTTTATAAATAATTATAGTAGTAGTCTTCACACCATTTGTTAATTTATTATAATCGGATGCCGTTCCTTTCGTTTTAATTTAAATATTACATTTGTGCCCTTTGCACTAATTCATTTTATAGTATTCTGCGTGACTGTGTATATATAATACATATAATATAATCTAAAGGACTTATTGTATTTACATATATACATGTAACAACGGCGCATAGTCCGAATTTGTTAATTTTTCTCCTGATTGCTACTAAGATCGACTTTTTCAACAGCAAACGTTTATCTGGGAGAGGACATCTACACATCTACAATGGATTCGGAAGTAACTGTGCACAAATTTCATGTGTAAATACTAATGGATGTTTAGTTAAAATTCTGGTCAGATCTTTGTATAATCCTTTCTCTAGCAACACGCAACTTCCGTTGCTACTAGCGACTGGTCTCGTTTGCTTCATATAAATTTAATCAAACTTGAACTAATTACAAAAAGCTTACAACTTTTAGGAAATAGGCTCCATTGTTAGTGATTAATATTTTTTTCCATATTCTCGCTTGGCCAACCTCGGATTTGGTTTTGGTGGCTTTCCTTTTTTCTTTCTATTTCGAAAGTATAAATGTTTTGAACAACTGTTTGCTTAAGAGGTCAAAGAGGAAGACAATTCTAATTCTACGCCTTTTTCCTTACGTTTTAAAACAGTACAATATGTGTATAAAATAATGTTAGAACGTACATCATCATATGTTATGCAAATACTCTTTCTTTCATCATTATTTCAAACATTCCAATGCCCCAACACATATATGTATAATATATATAAAGTAGATATAAATGTATATCTACTTTTTTTTTTGTATTTACGATTACATTACATCTTGCTAGCTTTTTTTATGTTTCTCTTGTACTTGTCCCTCTCGAGCAAAAGTTGCAATCTTACCTGACCGTTAAAACACCATTGTTTAATGCACCCTATATAAAGTTTTAGGGTTGGCCAAGATCTCACTCATGCTACGAATCAAGATCATCTTCTCTCTGGCTACTGAAGTATGATACTAAACCGCCAAATTCTCCAGAACCTTCTTCATCGTACTGTTTGTTTCCAGTACCAGCATCGTTCGCATGCGCTTGCTGTTGTGGTGGAGGCTGAGGGGGAGGCGGGGCTTGAATGGGTGGTTGATTATCCGCAGGAGATGAAAAGTGATCCGCGGGATACGGAGATCCTTGATATGCGGCTGCATCATCTGCTGTGGACATTGGCGGTGGTGGTGGATAGGCACCATAATGATAATTAGGAGGAGGGGGAGGATGATACGGTGAAAAATTACCAGGTGGTCGATTAGGAGGCGGTGATGGTTGTTGCATATTATGATTAACCGGTGATGCATTGGTGAAAGGAGGCATTTGATGTCTAGGACCCATTGGATTATCTGCAAACCTGGACATGGGAGGTGCCCCTCTGACATAAGGAGGAGGTGGAGGAGGTGTAGGACCACCTTTCGCTAGAGGACTTCCAGCAGCTGGTGGAATCATTGCAGGCCCAGGGCCAAGTGGAGAACTACGATCTCGATTGTTGATCGATATCGGTCCACCACCTGATGGAGAAGGATCCATTGGATGATGCGGCGTATGATATATTTGCGGACCAGGTACCCTCATTCTCATTGGCGGAGTTCCTGATCTTACAGCAGCAAAATGAGGTGGTATAGAAGATTGTCCCGCTTGTCTATACGGAGAAGGTATTCTTCCACGTGGTTGCATTTCGTAGCCTGTCCTAGGTCCGCCCATTATTTGACCTCCAGCGTTTGGTCCACCGAAGTATTTGTGTCCCATTGCTGCAGCTGCAGCGGAGAACGATTGTGGACTACTCGATACAGGTTGAGATTGAAGCATCCTGGTGATAACGGAAGACTGTTGATTAGGTGGTAACGACGGATAAACAGACTGTGAAGTCGGAGTTTGCGAAGAAGGTGGTCCTTGTGTTGTAACAACGCCAGCAGGTGGTGTGGACGGAGCGGAACCAGAGGTGCTACTACCTGGTGTAGGAAGTACATTCGGGATTTCACCAGGTTTCATCTCCGAATTAGAATCAGTGCCCATTCCAATTAAACCAGCCTCAGCAGCAGCTTTTGCCGCTGCTTCAGCAGCTCTAGCTGCTTCCAGGGCAAGAGTCTTTTTACCCTTACCACGTCCCCTTCTTTTAGGTTTCATAGGCGATCCATCGGGATTAAAAAGTTGTCCATCTGGTCCCGTCATCATAGGAATGTGTCCTTCGCCGGTTCTTTCCGCATCAGGAGTCATAATCGCTGACATATTGGGAGTGATATTAGATGGTATGGTAGTTACCAAGTTTTGTGGCACGCTGGCAGATAAAACAGTGGTGTTTAAATTCGGAGCCCCATCTCTGCGCATTTGTTCTGCAAGAATTTCGGCTTTACTCCGACGGCCTCTCTTTTTCTTCTTTGGTACATCTCCATCAGTTCCCTCTGGCGCGTTAGGGTCTCGTTGCCTCTCAGCTGCCAATATTTCTAATGCTTTTAAACGCGCCTTTTCTAATTTTTTTGCTTCTCGTTCTTCTTTCTTCTTCTTTTTTATTTCGATAGCTGCAAGTTCTAACTGTCGTCTGGCGTATTCTTCATCCTCCATCATCATTTGTTCTAATTGTTCGTCATCTAAGTCAGCTAGTTCACCTGCTCCAAGTCCCGTTAAGGAACCTTCTGGCACATCTCCGGTGAAAGAACCTGCTACCGACATAGCCGTACTGGTTAGAC